CTCTCTTCCATTTGGGGACCCGATGGAGCATAGTTTCCTGGCCAAATAACCTAGGAAAAGCTTTTAAACCTGCTGAACCAAAATAACCTAGTAACCAAAATACCCTAGTGCAGATTCATTCTGTTGGAATCTGCCCTTACACACGAATTACCTTTCTGGGAGAAAGGATGGGGAATCACTGGAAAAAAGGTCATCCTCAAAAGCAGATGGGGAGAGAATTCTCCATGGGGAAGGTGGAGAATTTCAGTAGGGAAAAAAAAAATGTGAAACTGAACTGATCTATGGGGAAAAAAAAAAGACCAAATTCCTCCTCCCTGCTCTGAAAATGTGGTATTTTCAGATTGCATCAATTTGGCACTTTCAAAACAAAACAAAACAAAATAATAAGTCTCAGTTCTTGCTTCAACATGATTTTCCATTTCTGGAAAATGCATTTTTGTAACAAAATGTAAAATGCTATGGAAAACATTTCAGATAAAACCTGAACATTTTGAAAATATACAAATGACAAAAAACCTGTTTTGTTTGTGTCAACCTCATGAGACTCAGACAGCACATTACCAGCTTCGTAACCAGAATATAACCCTTAACCCTAACATTATATATTCTACTGTGCATGTGGAATTACTGCCCGATGAAATTCTAATTCTCTCATCAGTGACACTGAGGCTAAGCCACTCACCTTCTTAATGACAACATGAGAAATGGAGCAATTCACATGAAAAAGGGCAGCAATCCCTAAACCAAACTATCATTCTTAACTAGCTCCATCATCTTAGCTTGCCAGCATTTCTCATTCATCATAATTCCATGTTTGGGAACAGCTAAATTTMCTTCCAAATGAATCATTTGGTCCAGAGGCTGCTTTGGCAATCTGCTTGTTTTTCTGTGCAGGCCCTAATCAAAAAGTGGTGGTGACTTCAGAGGCTGCGATAAATAAGGGCTGACTTTGTGAACGTCTAATTGTGAAATTCAGCTGGGCACATCTCACAGCAAGAAGAGCAGGAGTGTCTGGTGTGGCAGCCTGCCGAGCCTTGGGGGTCACATCCTGGATTGCTGTCGTTTTGGTAAAGCACTGGAAAAGGCAAAGTTGATTTACTGATTGTGCAGATTTACACCAGTGTGACCTGGCTTGTGCCAGTGGCATTATCCTTTTTTTTTTTTTTTTTTTTTTTGTCCTTGCTCCCTGTTTCATTCCAAAATTGAGCTATTTCCTTGTTGAACTGCCTTTCAGGAAGGAAATCCAGGAGGGCCATGTGCTGCACTTCCTGAAGAACTCCCAAATATTTTATTTTGTTTTCTAAGGTAATTATTTTTGATACTGTTTCTGTAACCTTAGATCCATACCTTTGCCTAAAAACTCATGGGCAGCATGAAACTATCACAGCCCGTGGAAAGGTATCATGTTCAGCCTTAATGGGTCACAAGATCTGCCAGTCCCTCCATTAGTTAGCTCGCAAGCACCCAGCACAAAGAACTGAAGGGTTAATGTACACTGCAGACCCTTAAGTCTGAAATTTAGACCCTCAAGCTTTCTTCTCAGCCTCTCTCTTAATATGTAGTGTCAGTATTAGATACCCTTAGATACCTAAATGCAAAGAACCAGCTGCATCCTGGCAAGTCAGGGAAGCTACAGGCTTCGTTCATAGACTGCTCTAGGCTCCTAATCCAAGGTTCCTGAGTAAGTCTCACCTTTCCCGCCTGTTCAAACATCAGACTTGCTGACGTTGGCACCAGCTTAGTGAGCAGAAGGGGATGGAGGAGATCACCTGCAGGTCCTTTTGTCTGGAGGAAACTGAATYCATTTATCCCCCATCCCAGTGAGACCCATCACTTCCATATGGGTAATGGYTTCTGGGTACATATCCCTGCTCATATTTGCTGGGGTTTTGCCCACCCTGCACAAGGATTTTAAAAAGGTACAGGAGACAGGATGAGGTTTTAACTTCTGTGGCTAGTGTCCCTGCTTAAGAAAAGGAATGTGTGCTGAGTGCCATCTCCTAAGATAGTAATTGTAAACATTGCACTAGCAAGAGACCCAGAGGAGGACCAGGCTGAACTGCCCTCAGCATCTCATTTGCAGCAAAACTTCAAAAAGGGAGTTTGTGAGCACAGGGTGCAGGAGAGAGCATCAGATGGCCTGAGATGTTGGGCTTCTTGTTCATGTCCCCAATTAGGCAGGAAAATGTGAGTTTTGAAAAATAGCCAGCATGTCCCACCTACTAGCTTAGGTGAAGGCAGAAACCCTCAGTGACAGMGTTTATCAGCAGTGGGGGATCTCCYTGAACTGAAATGCTGAATAATGCTGGTATCCTTCAGTACTGCTGTGCAGGGTCATTTCCACAGYTGAAATGTGGTTACAGGGTGCTTGTGTATGGGGTCTGGCCAGGAAAACGCTAAAGGAGAGAGCTGTACCTGCAGAGGACTGGCAAGATGCGCAGGGCAGTGGGATTGCTAATTGGGACTAATTAGCAGCAAGTGCTTTGTGTTGAGGGAAGGAGATAAAAAAAACAAGGGTAGGAGAGCAGCAATACTAGAGGTGGTGATTGAAGGAGCTCTTTTAGTGCTTCATTATCCAGGTTAGTGCTAAGTGATGGAAAGGTGTTAAAAATACAGAAGGATGCTGGTTGTGCTCATCTGATTTTTCTCTGACTGTTACTTGGGAGCAAGAAATCTCGTGGGAGTTGGGGGTTATGGCTGAAAAGGCAAGAGATTGTATCAGGACTCCTTCAAATACTCCTATTTAGCTTTTCTCTTTTTAAAATGAAGAACTTTCTGCCTGTGTAGTTGTGACTGGGAAAGAAGCTGGCTGTGGCCTGGCTGCTGGGCTGAGCTGCAGAGCTACTGGTTGGACCTCTGAGGAGTGCAGCTGCGGCTCATGCTGCCCCACGTGGAGAGGGAGCTGTGCTGAGGGCTGCTCTGTTCTCTTGGCTTCTTCCCCTTTGGCTCTCCTTGTGGAAAGGTCTAGGAAAGGTAGTGTGAGTAGAGGGGTATGCTCTCAGCATGGGACTGCAGATGCTGGAATAGATATATGGGTGCATCTGAAAGGTGATGGGAAGGCAGCATCTAAAGGTTAGGGTCTGGAAATTGCTTCATTGCAATATCTCTCTTTTGAGGAACTGAGGTTACTGGGCAGTTTTGTACCTGGAAGTGAGCCCATGGGATAGACCAACTGGTCTTCTAAATACCCAGGTTTCTTCTTCTAGTTCTTCAAGCTTCAGTGAGGGAAGAGGGTTAGAGGATGCTGGAARCTGTTTTATTATGTTTTTTTCTTGCAGTGTGTTCTTGGCATTCATTTTGACATTCTATTTAGGTAAAGAGATTCTCTCTGTGCCTGAATTTTCTACTTCACGTTAGCCCACTTAACTAGTAGCTTATGGGGCTTTCACTAATTCCACACCCTCTTGTTGTTGGGGCAAAACAACCTCCCTTGTTTTCATGGCTTTACAGGGATGGTGTTAGTTCCCTGTCAATTATTTCCGTGGGAATTTTGCAGTGTAAGATTTGAGAGCAGTCTGAAACCCAATACGGGGAGCAGATTGCAGCCTGATCCTGGCTCTGGATCTGCATATGCTGCAACCTATCCAGGGAATACGGTTAGAGAGAATTACAGATGGCTGAACCAAACTGCAGCCTCCTCTTTGAACTCTGCTGTACCAAAGCAACTGTTAAAATCTGCTGCCTGTCTTTTAGACAWACAAGTGTCCCAACGAAGAACAAACAAAAGCACTGGAGAGGATAGGAGAGACCTGCCTGCCACAGATCTGTTGGGTTCTCTTAGCTCTGGGTTCCTTGGGGGTGAAAGCTATTGCCAAAAGGCAGAGTTCCTGCTGCATGCCACCGCCTGCAGTGTCCTGTGGTCAGGACCTGTGCTCTCAATGTCCTGGGGTAAAACATATGTATTCAGCTGGAGCTTCTGCTTTGCCCTTGCAAATTGCAAACTATACCTCAAGGGAGGCTTTAAAATTCGCTGCAGTGAATACTGAACTCACACTCGCAYAGAGCTACAGTAATAAAAGAAAGGACTTACTGAGCATGTTCATGGTTAGACAGGAACGGGTCTATGGCAGAACAGCAGGAGGAGCTTGGAGACAGAGGAACAGCCACTTTTAGTGCACAAAGGAGGAAAGACAGACACAGTGAGGTAGTAACAGGAGAAAGGAAGGAAAACACAGAGGTGGTTAATAGGAAAAGGCTCTTCTCCTAGCCTGATAGTAAACACCAAGAAAATGTTTCAATTGTGTCAAGGTTCCAGATGCATTTCTAAACCTCCCAAAGGTTGGAAGGGAAATGTCATTTTATAATGGTGGTTGTAACTGAGTTAGAACTGTAAGAGGTGTTGAGTAGGTTCCTTTTTTCCAATAAACACCTTGGGGATCCTTCAGCATTTCTTCTTTCCTTTCCAGGAATGTTCTTTTGCCTTCTCATTGATGTGTTCTGTGGCAGCAATGCATTGTCAGGCTCATCTTCCAAAGCTCTTGAGTTTKGTTTTGGGATGGGATTTAGCAACTGTATGCTGTCTCCCTCCTGCTAGTTTCATCATTACCACAAACCTATTCAGACCAAATAGAGGTTCTTTTCAGGAAGCAACCTGCATCTTCTAAACACAAAAGTCTAGGGAGTAAAATTTTTATGTTTAGGCCCCTTAAYGTCTACACATTGTTGATTTATAAATATTTTATGTAGGAAATGCTGAACATAGCTTTGCTCCAAGTATATATCTATAGAAGAAAGAACTGTCCTCTTAAAGACCAGCTATTTATAAGCTATCACTACCTCAGAATGATCTTTTTGGGGGCTGGGGGAGGAGAGGGGAGGTGAGCAAAGAAAAAAGGCAAGTTCCTCCACAGAGATCAGTGTGTCCCACTATTGATTTTTCCTTTCTTATTGAAAGAAGGAGCCACTTGAGCTTCCTGAAGACATTATTTCCTTTAATCCACACAAATCAGTTTGCCTTTGTCTCAAAGCTCCTGGCTGGTGGTCTGGAGTCCTGCAGCAAACTCCTCCAGGGCACAATTTCAGCCTCGCAGCCCTGTTCAGGAAAGTTTTGTGCGATGGAGATCTGCACCTATGACTGCCCTTCACACCTGGATCTGTTATGCTGTCTCTGCTCATTTGCTGCCTCTGGCCAGTGAGTATTTAAATTCATATTAGAGGGCTGAAAGTACTAGAAAAAWTTTACTCTAGCTGCACAAAGACTTAAACGTGCAATGACAGCTATCAGAAATCATGAAATGAGTTTCTAATATTCTGCTGTCCTGTGAGAGGACAAGGAATCCTCTTTGCATAAAGTTGAGATTAGGGGGCACAGTTGTGGGTTACGGATGTTTTGTGGAGCTGGATTAGTTAATTTTGTGATTGGTGCTCCATACTCATATGGTTGAATGTGTTTCACCCTTGATGAATGCAGAGTGTGCATCAAAACCTCTGTGGAAGGATCTAGATCTATAGGATTGGTGTGACATGCCCACYTGATAACACCTGTGGCACAGAGAAGCCTCCAGCACAGCCCACGGGGCAAGGGAAGAATTTCTCTTTTCTGTCCTTTCTCCTTTGTGTTGTTCACTCTGGTGTCCTTTTGAGCAAATTCCATGCTGATGCTGCAAAAAAGCTGCAGTGAGGTGGAGAGTGAAATCACAGCATTCTTACAAAGGATGAACTTGGAAAAATTTCAAAATTCACATTTTACCCTAGATAATAAGCTCTTAACTGGCCTTGCAGGAAAAAAAAAAATGTGTTGTCGTAGGCCCTGCTTAAAAACTCTTCACCCGTCCTGTTTGCCAGCCTGGTCGGTTAGTGTATTTGTCACAATAAAGAGAACCGCTGTGAACAGATGGGGTTATTGAAGAGGCTTTGTCTCTTGATCTTGAACAAATATTGACTTGCACCTTGCACTGAAGGATTCCCGATAGCTGGACACAGCACACGCCGGAAGAAGAAAACTGAGCTGCTGCATCCTCATGTACCCGAGATGAGACGTTTCTACTGTCTCTGGGAAATCCTTTGAAGACAATACTTGGGCTCTGCTCATTTTGCCTTGTTTTCTTTGCCTCATCCCAAAAAGATGAAAACTAGAAGGCCTACCAAAAGGTTTTTCATTCTCTGTTTCAGGCTGGAGAGAAGAGTTGTGGTAAAGCCTTTCTGAAGGTCAACTGAACAATCAAAGCTGAAATCCAGCCAGACCACRAGGTGATTCAATGTCAGCTTTGGACAGAAGTCTCAGGACTCTGACACAATTCAGAGCTGTTAATGTAACTTAAGCTACAGCATTCCCAAGCCATGAGTTCTTAATTTTATGCCTTAAAATATCATTATTTCTCYGATTACATTATTTCTCTGATTCTGTAAAATACAAAGGGTCCTAGTGAAATCAGTCTGCAAGTTACAAGGTACCAGAAGGTYTGACATTTAGTGGCAAGAAACTATACCAATAGTTTATCTCTGCAAAACAAGAGCTGTTCAGGAACTCATCTCCTCTGAGATATATATCACTTTGTCATCAGTGAGAAAGGCAAGAAGTATAGTTTAATGAGCTCTTAAAGCAAGAGAAATAATGTCAATTAAACAATGAGAAACAGCGGGGGAATCGCTGTTAGTAACAAACTTGCTAGATAGGCTCCCACTCAATGAAGATATCAGCTATGTCACATAAATCATGAGTTCCAAAACTGCCTTCTCAATGTGCTTGCCTGATTTAACAAAAATATGCCGTCTTCTGTGATGGATGGCGTTAACACTGAAGTAGCCTGCAAGAGCCACAGAAGAGACCATGTAATGCAGAAGACTCAGAATCACCACTAACAGATTTGCTGAAGGGTGTGTAATGGTTGATCTAGTATTCAAAAGACATTTTTTACTCCCAAAGGCACACATAAGGAAAGACTGCATCATTACTGGTGGCAAAAACAAGACAGAAGCACATCTGCATCAATTCACGATTCAGGTCAACCGTTCAACATGTGAACGCATACTGAATAGCAGATGTTAGCAGCAGCTATAATCTTGCCTATGACACATAAACAAATCTAAAAACCTGAAAATGTCCAATTTACTGTTTCTGAAATTTTCTATAGAAGAGGGTAAGATGCTTACAGCTGACTGAGGGCTGAAAACTAAAGCAAATGAGCACTGCAGTCAGATTCACAGCAAGCTAAACAATGTCTATATCTGAACTTGATGAAGCATGTGAACCAGACAAGCTGGCATCAACACCTGCCCAAAGGTACACCCAATYAAAAAGAAAGGCTGTGGTCAAGGATCCAAAAAGTGACAAAATGGCAAAAAGCAATCAAACTGCATGCTGAAAATCCTTGATATCTCCCTGAAGATATGAAGGAGATGTCCAAAATGTCTTGTGGAATTGGGCTTCTTCTCTACCAGATGCTCTGAAGACCTTTGTAGCAGTTTTAGCTACAGCAGCTGGAAAGCTTTTCCATAGTGTGAATGTATGAAGAATGAAACAGGCAGTGTGTGTGATGCCTAAATATGATCATTCTGGACTCACAGCCCAGAGACCTCATCTGCACATTAAATCTCTTTACAGCAGGTTTCATGGAGTGGCAGGACCACATTTGTTTCAATTTTATTGATTTTTTTTTTCTAAAGATGTTTGATAGTCTGCATGCACGTGTGCTGTGACCATTTCTCAGCCATGTGCAAATCCACCTAAAGCTGTCCATATCATGAAGGGCAAGTMGATCTGAATAGTGGGTTGCAACAAGGACAGCAGCTAGGCAGAGGTTCAGGGAAGACCTTCATTCCCTCTGCTGCTGCTCATCACTCTCATACTTGCAATATAAATGCCTAGACAATGTAAACCTGGGCAGGCAACCTAGGAGACTGAGACTTTGCTGGAAGGGTTGTATTATAAACTTTCCCGCTCTTGACACTGCCTTCCACAAAAAGGTATTCTGAAAAAAAATGAGAAAATCCCCTGGGAATCAAAACCAGCTATCTTAAAATAAGCTTCTTCAAAACCAAGATGTCAAACAATAGCACCAAAAACCTTGTCCATGCTTTGAGGGACAGTCACTGATGTTGTGAGATGTTTCTACCTTGTGCACCAGCTCTGTTACAGGAAACCCATAGTGTAATGTTTCCTATAGTAACCCCTGAAAGATTCCAGATTTTACCTTAAAGGCATATAATAGCATATAATGCTGCTATATGCCCAAAATAAGACTTTTGTGATTCTATTAAAGCTATATCAAAAAAAAAAAAAAAAAAAAAAGGTTGTAGGGCTCTTAAGAGAAACAATACTATTATTTATTAGCTGATGGAGACGAAATCCAGGAGAAGTAGGAAAGCATGGTACAGATGTGATGAGGTAGCTCATGGTAAGATGAGATTGAGAAGAAAGAGGAAGGAGAGTGATGTAAGAGATCTCACAGMAGAAGTTTGAGAACCTCTAACCCTGTGTTCTCAGGAAGAAACCTGGGTGGTGGTAGGAGATGGACCATATTTATGCATTTTTCTGATWAAAATATAATAACATACAATTCTTTAACATCATCAAAATTTCAATATATTAGCCTTGTTTCTTGTTTTTTTTTAAACTCTTTGTAATTGCTCTTTTTCATTATCTCTGTAAACACATGGCTTAATACCCCTGTTATAAGGGGCCCCATGGCTATACTTTTTTCTTATATTATGAAGGAAGGCTTGAGGAATGACCTGTGAAATATTCCCAAGGTATATCCTTATGGCATTAAGCTAAATTAAAGCTTTTCAGAAATCCACATCATTGTCCAAGAGATTCTTTGAAAACTTCTCCTACAGCAGCCAGGAAGAAAGAGGATTATTTAAAATGAAAATAAAAAAGATGTTAACTAAAATTAAAATGCACTTAATAGCTCCAAGTTTTAGAGATAAGGAAGTCAACTTCTAGAATGTTATATGACAGTCTAACAATAATTGTGGAGCTCTTTGTGAAGACTGATATATATTGTATAAAATCACCTTGATGAAAAGTAGAAGTCTCTGGAGAGAAGAAAGAGTGGTTCATAAAGCAAAGCTGTGCAGAGGTCTAGGCTGAAAGGCAGCAAAACCTCTTGTACACAACTGAAACACAGAGGGGGAGTAGGTAAATGGTAATTTGCTATTCAAAATAGAATTTATTTAGGTACAAAAACCAGTTTAGACTCCTAATATGAATGAAGAGACACATGTGAATACATGTGAATATGTGTTAGGAGTGATGTATGTATTTACATAAACGTTGTGATATAGTTTCAATAGTTTTGTGCCATGCCAAGATATTAAGCTGCACTACAGCAGGAAGAAAACCTTGTTATATCTGGCAATAAATACACAAACCTAGTGCCCCTCTGTGTCAATGGTCCCAGCTTCTGCTAGGTGTGGGGAATGCGATATAAGTGGAGATGGAAGGCAGAAAACCTGCACACATCTTCACCACACTGCTCCCAGCCAGTAGTGCTATAAAAGTTGTGTTCCTAACACAGGACTCACTGGTGTTGAAAAGTCCAGATAAACATCATTACATGAGAGAGCATTATTTTCAACAGAAATTTTCCACTTTAGGTGGATAAACCTGAGTATCTAGCATCATAATGTTGATTAAGGAAGCAGGGCTGGGATTAAAATTAAACTGTCCAGTAACTGTACAGGGTATTGATATGGACTCAAATGAAATCAGATTAGAGCTTTTTCCAACAGATAACATCTTGCTTTCTCATCAAAGCCTCCAAACCAATTAAAAATACCATTCAGATAACTTTGTGCAGAACAGAAACTGTTGGCCTTCACCCTCAGGAGACCTAGAAGGATGAGAACATAAATGTGTAGAGATCTAGCCCATTTTTATTGTAGAATGAGTCCTGTGAGACAGATGACTTTTCTATTTTTGTTGTGCTGTTTCCTCACACCATGTTTTGCAGGAGAGTGGGGAAAAAAGCTTGCAGGAAAGCTATGGCCTCCAGCATGAAGGGATGCACAGGGAATGCTGAGTTTTGACTGCAGAAAGGCTGGACAGGAGGAAAGTGAATAGGAGAAATGGAGAAGTTGCGAAGGATTCCTCTGGAGAGAGGTATGTAGGAAGCCCTTGAGAGCTGTTGGGGCTTTCCAGGGCTCCATTGGGAAATCACATCTCTATTCCAAGCCAGCAGTTTCCACCTGCTGGGGACATGATGTTCATTTTGTGAGCTGGCTGTGCAAAGTGGAGAGAAATAAGAAACAGTCATGCATGTCAAAGATCAGCGAGGTTTAATTGGAAAAGACAACAATTAGTGTAAGTTACTTAAAGTTTCCATTTGAATCAAGGAGACAGTGAAGTGAAACTTGAAATAATTGCACACAGAATAAATACTAAACCACTGCAGGACTAGCCATTGCTGTTGCTTCTTCCCCTCTATTATCTTTTCTTTTTCATGAAGAATCCCCATCCTTCTAGCACTGCCTTCCAACAGCACTGGAGTGCCTTTCAGCAGCTGATTCTTTGCAAACTTCTGTGAACCAAATTACTTTCCATTTTTTTTCATAAACAATAGATGGATTAACTGGTGTCTTGCAGAGAGCAACTGTGCTGAACCAGAAGTCTGGTTATGTCATTTTTACTGGTGACAAACCAGTTGTATATAGAAAAAATGAGTACCAGAGTTGGAAAACCAGGTGGTTTCTGGAATTAGTGGTGTGAAGCCCAATTCCCCAGTGGCATGTGTAGCACAAAATCCCCATTGTCCCCTGCAGAAAGGGCTTTCCAAGAAACCTAGAAGTATCAGGGGCCATACAGCCAATGGGGAGCTGCTCAGTTAGCACCTGGGTATTYTCTAGGGAGATATAAATCGGGCCAGCAAGCAGCAAAGGTAAATCTCAGACTAGAAGGAAGTCTTGAAAGGAATCCTGCCTCACCAGAATACATTAATTGTTTTCATTACCCAAAGCACAAGTCATGCAATTAAAAATAGACAAGAATGAACTGATATTTCAATTGCTTCCAAGCTCAAGGTGCCCTTCAATACCTTGGTTTCTTTACCAGAAGAAAAGTGACGCAGAATTGAAGTTCTGATCGTGAATCTTGTTTTAATCCAAATAACAAAAGGAGTTTATCTTACCTCTAATCTCTTTTTCCAATATACASACATACTGAGAGAGATTACCTTACTAAAATTGAAGGAAACTGTGGTATTTTAAAAACCTAATCCCTTCTCTCCTCTGTAGGAAATAAGATAAGTATCTTGATTTTATTCAGTACAATTATGAGAAGCTTTCCCCTTATCAGAAGTTCTCTATTTCCTCTCATGAAACAGTTTTTGTGCTGCAGACCACCTTTCTGCACAGTGTCCTGACTCATGACCAGCAGTGCAGGTGCACTGCGGCCGCAGGAACGCAATCACCTCCTCAGACACAGGGCAGATGCTGGCATCAACTTATCCATGTGCAGGTGCCCCATAAGAGACAGGTTAGTACACATATCTTGGCCCAAGGTGTTGGGGACTTGGTGATGATATGGGGCTGATGTCTGGTCAGTGAGGATCAGGGAATGGAAGAGATATGTGCACAGAAGCCACCAAGATAACACCTTGGTTTTATCATCTCAGAAAGCTGGTGTGCTCTATGGAAGGGAAGGGGAGCCGAGGTCGTTCCACACCCTTCCCTTAGAGCTACTCCAATCCACRTCATCTTTTTTTCAGAAGAATTTGATTTTTTTTTTTTTTTTTTAAGTCTAAACTGCTCAGCATTTAAACTTTACACAAATAACCAAAAATCAGGAAAAGGAGCAGGGGGATGGACCTTACCCAAGATGACAAACCCAACATAAAAGAAATTAGCATCTCAGCTTCCTATCCCAGCGACTACCTGACTTCAACAAAGAGTCTGTTACATAAAAGAAAGGATTTGGCAATAACTTTCAAAAACACACCCCGTAAAAATTGAGAACCCTGAACAAACTGGAGCAACACAGCATGCTGTCATGCTAGTGCACTGTTGCTTCAGTAGTTGCAGACATGCTTTGCCTGCCCCCAAACCATGATGGGAGCAAAGCAGAGACACCAAGCACAGCCCATAGTGATTCTCCACTGCCATCTCTAACCTCCAGTTTCCTTCTCTCCACCTTCATTTTTTCTGGCTTCACTTCAGTAAATGGTGAATTTAAATTCAGTAAGTGCAAATCATGCTCTGTATTTTCCAAGCTGTGCTGGACTCGCCCTTTYCTATTTGAAGACCTTGCTGGGGTGGTTCTTTGGATATGTGTTTTCCTGATGGTGTAGGGAACTGTTCATACTTGTGGGGCTGCAGTGCAGCCTCCCCAGCACAGTATTTGTGTGCTGCCCGGTGGCCGCTCATCAGCACTTGCTCTGTGTCCCCAGGCCAACATTTCGGCAGGTCAGAAGAAGCCTGTGAGATATGTCTGCTGTCGCTGCTAAGAACCAGAGGCCCAAACCTGCACTGTGCAGRCTCTACTTACACGCAGCTACACATGCAATGGATTCTGCCCTATCAGTGTTTTTTTCCTGCTGCAAACAGGTATTTTTCTTACTCTTTAACTGGTGCAATTAGACTGGATATAGCTGTGGACTTGGCTCTCTGTTCTTCTTTCCCCGTCTTCCTTTTTAACTCCCCTGGTTTCACAGTGAGCAGAAGTTGCTGCAGGAGCTCAAAGGCTGCTGTCACAGGGCTCAGCGATGACCATATTTGTGAAAGGTTGGAGCAGGCTATTGGGCATGGTCAGGCAGTGGGAAGCCCCAAGGGAAAGGAGGAGAGCCCCTCTTGTCACACCAAGCAGCTCTTCCACAGTGTGGGCTGCTGTGCCACCTGTGTGCCCAAGCACGCTTTCCTGCATGGGATGGTGCTCTTATCTTTGTGAGTATTTTTGTCCATGATTTT